GCTGAGACTGTTCGGCAACACTCGGTGATTCTCGCTGACTCTCGACTCTACGGCACGTTGAGGCACTGGAGGACAATGGTGTTTATACTTCTATTGTCTGGAGAATATAAACACTGGCACAAACACGTCTGAATTTGTCCGTTGAGTTTCTGATGTGAACCCCGAATGTCCGCGTGGGTTTTTCACTGCACTGAATAATTTCACACTACCGATTCCCGTGTCCGGCTCGAAGGACCATGTGTTTGGAGGGAAAACTGAATTTAGGGTGGATTGGGAAAGGGGTAGTGGAAATGCCGGTGAAAAACGAACGCACTGAGTCTATAAAAAATATACTGATTTATTCGGTGGAATCGAACCACCTTAGCGTCACTTGTTACACTCTGTTAATTGTCACTTAAATTGATTCAAACTGTTCTGAATTTAACACTGGAGATTTTCTGAACAATATACTGAATAATAGGAGACTGTACTGAGAATTTAAATAGGAGATGTATTGAGAAAACAAAATGTCTCGAACGGGTGATGTACTGACGCTGTTCGGACAACCGAAAGTAGCTTTAGAAAAACGATATACTGTTCACTCAACTCAGTTGCTACGACTCTCTACGACTGACTGACTGTAACTGACTCTGAGATTCGGTGATTGACTAGGCCTGACCGTTGACCCGAGGTTTCCCGAAGATTTTCGTAAGTGGCCGATCTGTGGTCAACCGTTGATATACTGAATTTTGACTGCGTTTCAAACAAGGTCATTATAAAAATTTTGCTATCTTCATTGTAAAAAAAAATCAAGGTTAAAAAACTGAAGAAAAATCTGATATACTGTAAATTCAATTATAGAGTAATAGACGATTATAGATAAATAAATAAGCCCTTTGGAATATTATGATTGTTCTACGAATAAATTGAATATTAAAAAAAGCTCCTATAGTTTTTGAAAACTAAAATTTACTACCGTTCCATTTTGCTCCACTCTCCCCTTTTCTTGAAAATTAATAGAAATCTGGAAAGTTAAGGTAAATGAATTTTTGTATTTTCAATTGATTGAAAATTGAAGAATAAATTATATGATTTAGTTGAGTGAAGTTTACTAATGTTTTGATTGAAAATTCTGATGAGTTGGAGAATTCTCATCTTTCTGCTCTTCAAAAATTTCGAATTCCAATGAATTTTCATTATTTTTCCCCTGTATCGAAATCAGTCACTGTTTTGAAAATATTTAGGCAACTGCTCATAAAATTTCAGTTTTCTTTCAACTATTTAGCCTACTAAAGGAGAGGAAAATGTCACATTTTATCGCAAATCATTCGTTTCGGTGTCATATACTGAGAGAAAAATCGTGATAACATCACAAAACTAATTTTTTGTGCCAAATATTTCATCTCTCGAGGAGAAATTTCATGGGATAAGAATTTTTTGTACCGTTCCATTTTACCCCACGTTCCATTTTGCCCCACCGTTCCATTTTGCCCCGCCGTTCCATTATTCCCCACCCTCCCCTACATGAAAAATCCTCATCCTTGCAATCTTAAAATTTTTCTCCAGGAAATTTTGGAAAAACCACTGGAGCGATTGACTGCAGCGATATTCTGATGTAAATAATTTCAATCACATTATTTATTCATGAGAAACCCTTGTCTGAGCGATTTTCAAACTTTTCTCCAGGAAATTTTGGAAAAACCACTGGAGCGATTGACTGCAGCGATATTCTGATGTAAATAATTTCAATCACATTATTTATTCATGAGAAACCCTTGTCTGAGCGATTTTCAAACTTTTCTCCAGGAAATTTTGGAAAAACCACTGGAGCGATTGACTGCAGCGATATTCTGATGTAAATAATTTCAATCACATTATTTATTCATGAGAAACCCTTGTCTGAGCGATTTTCAAACTTTTCTCCAGGAAATTTTGGAAAAACCACTGGAGCGATTGACTGCAGCGATATTCTGATGTAAATAATTTCAATCACATTATTTATTCATGAGAAACCCTTGTCTGA